GATAATTGCTATATTGGAACTATAGTACATAAATATTATAGAAGTATCTAATCATTTCAATTTGTTTCCTTTTTTGTAAACAAATAAGTTGATCAGATGTTGTTTTTCTCAGTTAAGATAGTGTGTGTAATGAACGTAAGCAGGGAGTTTTTGATTCATTTTTGGGTTCTTATAACGAAACTATCAATTGATAAGATTTGCATACTTCAGGAAGAGTTATTAAACTTGAGAAAAGCAGAATCTGATAAATTCATAAGATTCGATAGGACTTATTTAATGCATACAACTAACAAACATGATAATTTATACTGAATTTACCTCTTGAACCAAATATCAGAAAAAAAAGGATAACTAATTATAATTTTAAGGTTGGACAAGTTTATTTTTTGTCAATCTTGATGATTAGCATTCGAATCCAGGATGTGTACTTCGTCCTATTTGGGATTCATCAGCTGGATGTGCCTGCACCCTATTGAGTGTTGTTCCCACTCACTAGCTGTCGAGTAGCAAAGTGGACAAAACACATGTCCTAAATTCCACTGCTAACCAGAAAGAATAATGGAACGCCATGGATATCCAAGAGTATCGATGTATCCACACATGAGTCTATCTGCCAACAGATGTTGAGCACTTCGACCCTGCATAACATCGGGAAATTACAAGCATCAAGCAAAACGTTTATTTGTTTTTTTTTGGGAATGATAAATAGCTGTTGAGATGTGCTTGTCTTCTCAACAGAATAACTGAAGGATTTCGATGATTATCTATCTTATAGATTATGACAACCCCGCCTGGTTAACTAGCTCACTAGTTACTAGACAGTCCTAAGCCCGGACAAAGACGGAAGGTTGATGATACGGCTAGCAACCCTACTCCAGAAAACCAATCAAACCACTAAAGAAACTTCGAAGCACAGACAAAATACAAAAAATAAAATCAAAATTATTCCCCGCTGCAATCGGGGAGACGAAATCACGCCGGTTGGTGAAAGCCTTCAGGAAGCCAGTCAGTCGATATGTCTTCTCTTCACTCGATGAAAGTGAAAGTAAGCATGGGGACATGGAATGTCCTCACCATGTATGAACCTACCAAGGCTGCTCAGATTGCAAAAGGGATGAGGAGATATGGCATGGAAGTGCTTGGAATCTGCGAAATCAGATGGAATGGAAGTGAACTCTCCAAACTGTCAACTGGAGAGTCAATAATCTACTCCGATATTGTCACCCACACGACAACCACGAACACGGCACACTGAGTTGTGCAGTGGCTATCATGAAATCCCCAACAGCATCGGAGGCTCTCATACAGTGGGAACCAATCTCTTCCCCCACAATCATAACAGCAAGATTCAACTCAAAAGGAAGGAAATTCACAATCATACAATGCTATGCTACACACCTAAAATAATGCAGATGAAGAGAAGCGAAGAAGGAGGAATTCTACAAACAACTGCAATCAACTCTGGACAAGACTCTATTTGGTGACATCAAAATTCATTCTAATGGGTGACATGAATGCCAAACTGGGAGGGGACAACATAGGAAGAGAACTAACCATGGGTCGAGAAGCGCTCGGTGAGGTGATGAACGAGAATGAAGAATTGTTTGCAGAATTCTGTGCATTCGACGATTTGGTGATACGAGGCACTGTGCTCAAGCACAAGGATATTGACAAAGCGACATGGAGTTGAATTCACGAGATGCACACACTAGAAATCAGATTAACTTAATCTTAGTTTGAAGACAGTGTACACAAGATGAAGAAGGGGAGAGGATGTAGGCTCATCCCATTATCTAGTGCAAAGAACCTTCCAAATCAAGTTGAAAGCCTTCAGGGGAGTTGGTGATAGACCACAGTTCAAGTTCAACACCCGGAAACTGAAGGGCGAAACTACAAGCAACATCTTCACGGCAGCCATAAAGGCAGAATGGGAGATATCGAGCAAAATCCCTGAAGAAACCTGTGTGGCTGAGCACTGGAACTCATTGAAAGCTATATGGAAAGAAACCTGCATAACCGTATTAGGAAGGAAGAAGACAAAGAAAAGACAAGGAATGCATCTCGACGGACACATGGAAGCTGATAGAGAGGGGAGAGGAGGATGGTCGAGCAGAAGATGAACCAGTACAAGGATGCACAACTTAAAGGAGAACTGAGTACAACGTATAAACACCACACTGGAAAAAGAAGTGAAGAAGAGTGAGTGCAAAGAAAACAGACACTTCTATGACACACTGGCAAGTGAAGAAGAACAGGCTGCAGGTAGGAGAGACCTGATAACATTTTATCAAATAACCAGGTGACTATCTTGGAAAAGATCAACACAGATGAAACCAATGAAAGACAGTGAAGGAAATCTAATTACCGAGGAAGAGAAACAAGGGAAACGATGGAGTGACCACTTCGAAAAACTCTTGAACCGACAACCACCCGCACTTCGTCCAGAAATAACACCAGCAGCCAAGCCACAGGACTATCAGTGAACATAAGCCCTCCTAAAGAAGCAGAAGTCCTGAAAGCCACAAAGCTACTGAAATGCGGGAAAGTAGAAGGACCAGATGGAATCCCGCCAAAGACACTGAAAACAGACGCAGAAAAAACAGCGGACATGTTCACACTACTACTGCCAGAAGGTTTGCAAGGAAGGAAAGGTACCTGCAGACTGACTGGAAGAAGGGTTACCTTGTCAAACTTCCAAAGAAAGGAGATCTTAGACCTTGCAAGAAGTGAAGAGGAATCATGCTTCTGTCCACCCCAAGCAAAATATTATGCCACATCATCCTGGAGGGAATAGTAAATGCCCTGCATTCAAAATTGCCACCGGAAAGCACTTGCTGAATGGATTCAGGAAGAGCAAATCATGTGCGGATCAAATTGCAACGCTACGCTAAGCATCATCATGGAACAGAGTATAGAATGGCAGTCAACTCAACTCTACCTCAACTTCATCCACTTTCAAAAGGCGTGAGACGGCCTCGACGGAAACGTAATTTGCCAGCCAGCTGCTTCAACACTATGGAATACCACAAACATTTATCAATCTCATTCAACAACTGTATGAAGAGGCCACATGTCACGTAATTCACAATGGGAAGCTCAGTGACTCTTTTGAAATGAAGACAGGAGTAAAACAAGGCTGTCGACTATCACCCATGATATTCCCGATTTTGGTGGTCTGGATCATGCAGAAAGCCATGAGGAGCGAGAAGATGGGCATAAGCTGTCTGTACCGATGAAAAGACCCCAGAAGAACATTTGGATTTCGTCGGTGATGATTTATGTTTAATGTCGCACAAAATCGAAGATTCACAGGTATACTCCAACAAGTTGACAGAAGTGGGAGCTAAGAAAGACGGGACTTCAAGTGAACATAGAGAAGACAGTGGTGATGAAGATAACAAACCAACAGTAGCATCAACAACAACCACCAGTCATCATCGACGGAGAAATCCAAAGGAAGTAGTCTCTTTCACCTATCTAGGCAGCACTGTCTCAACTACAGATGGCACACACGACGATGTCAAAGCAGTCAGGATCGGAAAGACAGCAAGACAGGCGTTCATCAACCTGAAATCAGTGTGGAAATCTTCTGCACTGACGTGCACTCAGCACAAAGCGTGAACAACATCCGCATGTTCAACACCAACATCAAGTCAGTGCTTCCATGTGATGGTTGAGAGACCTGCCACGTCATGAAAATCATTTCCAACAAACAACTGAAGACATCAATCAACAACTGTCACCTACACTCACTCGATACTGACACTGAAGATCAGATGGATTGTCAGAATAACAAGAATGAGAAAGAAGGAACTCTGGCTGGCTGGCTGGCTGGCTGGCTGACAACAAACAAGCCAACAAACCATCGCCCAAAGGATATGCAGAAGAATGTAGAGATGGATTGGATAGGGCATACACTGAGAAGACCATTTGTGGACATCAGGCGCCAGTCCGGGTCCTCGAGTGGAATCCAGATGGGAAACGACGAGTTGGGCGTCTGAGTGGAGAGTGACATGGAGGAGATCATATGAGGAAGAAATGAAAGTTTGTGGGTAGTGTTGGAGCTATGTTGAAAAGACTGCTGAGAAATGAGTTGAATTGAGATGTGTTACTGAAGCCTTATGTTCCACTGGGAATCCAAGGAACAAATTATAATAAAAATAGATTATGACGTTATTGTATTACTTGGGACACGTATTTAATATTTTAGCTTTCACCTTTTCAAAATATCATCTCCTGTTTACAATACAGTCACTGTAACTCAGTAACGACTTACAGGCAATGATGTACACCCACTGTATAAGTGATAGTGACATGACCTGGCTGCCTTTATTTCGGTAGGTGAAGTGGAGTTAAAATCTGCCATAAAAACGTTGAAAATCTCTTACATAGACGAATTAGTCATAGGTCTACTGAGAGATACTTATTATTCAAAGAATAATTGAGGTTCTTAAAGTTAAACTGATGCTTTTGTGTGCATAGAAACCAATTTTTACCGTTTTGACTATCAGTTTACAATTATCCTCATGACTTACAGGTATAATAAGCTGGACAATTGTGTTGATCAGTACCAAACATGTAGACTACACTGATAAAGCATACTCCTCAGAAATTTATGAGCGTTATGATTATCTTGTTACTATGTCTAAAGTATTATGTCGTATATTTGCAGACTTATTATTCAGCTTTTTCAGTAGTGCTGGTTTTTTTTTGTATCGGAAAAATATCTTAAAAAGTCGACGGTGAAAACTGTTTATAAGCATAGAATCTATTCACAGAAAAATATCTGTAAAGAAAATTGAGTTGAAATCAGTACTAGAAAAAATGTGACCATAAACGCACCTATTTTTTTTGGTTGGTAGGATTTGATTTTGAAAGAAATTAGGGTGGTCAGTCAGGAAATGATCTAAATGATGTCAAAGAAATTTTTATTTCATCCCTTTTATTTTCATATTTTCCCATTATAAATTCACTATAAATTTTTATTTTTTCATTTTTAGTGACAATTCAAAAAGTATTGAAACACCATTTAAATTGAAAGAGGATTTGTCTTCAAGTCGAAATTTATTATTCACTGAGAAAAACATCTATGCAAATTCACCGACATTATTTCCTCTGGATACTATAACCAATTTGCATATTCCACAGTATAGACCATTACCTCCGCATAAATTAGGCATTATATCAGAAGATTTAAGTTCAGCATTTCCTGTCTTGGATTTTGTCTCACAAAGACAACATCACCATCAGCAAGAACATCGACAAAACAATTGTATGTCATCAATATCAACATCATCAGCAACAATGACTGCAGACATTTCAGTGGCATTATCACCATCCTTAGTTAATACGTCACTAACAAATTATGAAAATCAACAAATGAATACTTTTGACAACCTATTAACACATTCATATGATAAAGGTTCTATGCGATTATCCTTTTTTGATAATACAAGTCAAAATTATCCTGTTTATTACAATCAAAGATATCTGATCACAATAAGTATTTTCAAGAACAATCAACCACTTTAATAGATCGCAGTGTGAATAGAGGAGATCAGTTATCTTCAGCAAAATTTTCACATCCTGGAGGTGATTCAGGTATGTTTACAAAAAGGATTCTCAGTTCTCCTTCCTTTCATTTTTCTTGGGTGTATTATTTATACAGATTGTTATTGGTGTTCGATGATAAATCCTTTTAAAACGAAATCTCTTTCAAGTCAGATAGATAGTGAGAATGGTGACAAAATTTTCAAACTTATTTGTTTTGTGATCAGCTTGGCTAAATGCTTTAAGTGTGTTGAAGCAATATCTCTGTCTTTACGAAAGTAAATTTATAAATTATATCTTGATAAAAAGTTGTACGTCGATACGGAAGACATATAAAAGAAGCGATTTTGATGTACAGATTTATGAATGTCACAGTAATTTATAAGCATTAAATATTGAACGGTCTTGTTAGTCGATGAAACTGAAACAAAACTAAAGATGAATTCATTGAGACCCTATCATAATTACGATGATGAAATAAGTAGTGTGAAGGGATTGAGAATGTTGATTACCGGCCGCCATCACTTTTGAAATAAAACGTTTTCACTTTAGCATCCTAGTCTATCAAACCTCAAGGATTTATCATAAGATTTCTAGTTAATTTTTCGAAATGGGGCAATAATGTACTTTTTTTAAACTATGTTAACCTAACGTCTTACACTTAAGCTGTTGACATCATCCTGTCTCCTGTGATCTTGGTTTCCGAATATTAAAACCAACCGAAGTATATCTTTCAGTCCTTCTAGTCCACCTACTTTGTAATATGCATGCGAACCGGTTGAAATATTCTCACAACCTTAAGTATTTTACTAACTCTCAGCTACTCATTCTGTCTTCGTTTACGCACTTTCGCATATTTTAATACAAATGCCTGTTTATTCTCTTCCGTTTCATGTGTTATTATGAAGTGTATAAACTTGAACTGATTTTTTTTATGCTGACGGTGTTGCATTAAACTGTCTGCATGTTAAACGACTGATGTAGTCTAAGTCAACCTCCGTTTTCAATAATCTACAGTTTTTATAGACTTCAGAGTCCAAATTTATTCTGAGAGTATTGAATAAACTGAGGAGTGGATAAATGGATTATAAAGCAGATACATATTTGTAAAATCCCTATGAGGTAAACGAATTCTCGACTTTTCGCTATCTCACTGAAGCCGCTTCGTTACAGAATAAAACTTACACAATGCAACACATATTTAAGTAGCGAATGGAGATCTGATCTGTAATATATGCTGTTCTGTATGAATAAACTATTTTTGTTTCTGTAATAAGTCTACTGAGTGTGTATATAAGAATTTCATTAAACAGTAAATTGATCACTTTACTAGCAGTTATATAGAGTTAACTGAATTCCTACGAAAAAATCAGTGTGCCACTTTCCAACGATTATCAGCGCTTATACTTGAAGGGTATGTAAGTATAAACACCGTAATATAAGGGGTAACCCAGCGTAAAGTATCAGGACAAACAACAAAATCATCAGATGTTTCGTATTATTCTCCAGCGTTTCTATCTTGCTAGAAAGATCCTTTTGAAGAGTGAATCCGATAATAATCTTTCAAGTTAGCATTCAAGTTCGATAAGGAAAGTTACATTTTAATCATCCAATTTAGTTGCCATATGAAGCGAAAACCAATATAATTTTGGTGTGTGACATCAACAAATAGATCAGTGAAGCTTGTTCAACTTAGGTAAGTTGGGCTGTACAAAAATAGGATTCCACAATTCTAATCAACTGTGAAGAATATATCAGAGTGAATTCTCCTCAGGGGGTAGTATGAACAAGTTACTACATAGGGAACCTAAATATGTAAGAGGATTTCTAGATCAGGATACGGATTATAAGTGTTCACTTTTGTAAGTTTCATTACCAAGCTAGAGGATTTTATCGTCACTCAATTCATATGAAGTTGAAGCCATTTTAACTTAAATGAATGCTTAAAAGGCGAATTTGTCTAACGCAAGCGTTACTGGCTTATTGGTAGGCATGATCTATCTTTTTTTAATCGGACATTGTCTTTAATTATTGATGTTGAACGAATACTTCATTATTGACTTTTTAGATTAGTTTCCAGTTGACTAACTCCTTCTTGGCATCCCGTATGTTTAGTCATTGTTCACATATCTGTCGATTACCATTTGATCCCAATACCAGACTTACAAGAATTCTCCTAGAGTTTTTGAGCTTACTCGTTGGAGTATCTCCACGTTGTTTTAATTAAAGTTACGGGTTCTCTTATCTACATGCATTGACAAGCATCAAGTTACGTCATATCGTTTGACTACAAGATGATGTTGATAAATTATTTGACTTGTTCCACTCCTAGATTGGTCAACACAGTGATACCAAATTTATAGCAGTAATTTTCCTATTCTTTTATGGATTCTAGTCATTGCTGAGAACGATGCTTGTTGCTTTTTCAAGGTGATTAACATGAAAAGTGCAGTTATATCAAAGGGCAGCATATTTTCATCTTTGTGTATCGTGAGGTCTTTTATTCTTTCAACAAAATGATTTACTGAATTGACTAAGTTTTGATTTTTGTCAACAGGGTATTTTAGTTGAAATGAGTTGTTGACTTTAGTGGGAACAAAGTGAATTCAATCTGGATCTTTAGGGAATGTAAACAAGGTGATAATCCGGAAATGAAGAAACCAAAAATGGCAGATACAACTTTAGCCTAGAGAAAAGTTCACTGTGAAAATTCACATCCTCAGCTACTAATACTTGGCATAATTTCAAAATCATTTTTGTTGACTATGGAATGTATATCGGTTGTTCTGTTGGAATTGTAGACAAGTGAATATTGTCTGCATGTCATTGAGGGATTTAAGCTAGCAGCCATTTCAGCTTCCGACAAAGGTGAATTCTGCACAATAAATGAAGGATGTAAGAACATGACATAAAAAGCGATTATGGATGAACATACTCTAACTACAAGTTTTAAGATGAGAATCAAAGTTTTATCTGGAATTTTATTATATACAGATGGATAAATGAAAGTAGGATGTCATATAAAAGTTTAGTACTTGACTCTGTCACATTTCGCACTACCATCGAAGAAACATCAACCGAATTCGTATGACAATGAAGTAAGTGGTAAGTGTAAACAAAAAAGAAAGATAGGGGAGTAAGGAAAGAATTCAAGTGAGTCAGTATAACTTCCACAATACTGTTTATAAAAAATAATGAATATATCTAGTCAATCTAATGAATTATTTATTTCTATCAGTACTGGGGCAAAAATTTAGAATTTTCATTTAGTTTAAATGATGCGAATGCATAGTTCATGTCAAAAATGGGAAATATTACTCAACTCCCCTAACAGAAGGATTATTTATATGCTTGGTTTACCTGAGGACCAAAGGATAGCGTTAGACCTTTGAATAGGTTTAGAGTGTAATCAATGAACTCAGTCTAGTCGACTCGTCATTTCCGATTGCCTGTGAAGAGGTCTAGTTTATTCTTAAGAAAGTGATTTCCTACAAGTATTAGTTAAATAGTTACTCAATTACATTTCATCTAGAAGGGTTAGGATAAAGTCTAAGAGAAACATAGATACTGAAACCGATCTAATAATAACAATAATGATCTCTTTATTCCAAACAATATGTATGATACAGTATGCAACTCTCAGCATGTAATTTTTCAACAAAGTTACTCCAAGAACAATATTTTCAGACGAAATGGTTATTGTATTTGAATGATGCTAATAAGAACAATATTTAAGGCAATAATATGAAACAACCAGCTGATTTTGGATTATCGTCCGATCTAGAATAAAGAACCAACAGGAACGCAAGCGCAAGTTTGGTATTGACGGTACAAGTTAGTACAAGAATCTGTAACTGAAACTAAGTATACAAGGCAAAGATATAATGATGTACGTTTGTATACTGAAAGGTCCATTTCCATATAAGGTGACAATTTTCCTGTGTTTTATTGATAACTTAAGAAACGGTTAGTTGAAAACATTTAAAAGTGTGCAGAAGTTCATGATACGAGCAGAGAATATATTTAAACCATTAAAACAAATTAAAAGCAAAAAATGTGATATACATGTTCAGTGGAAAATTTTAGTAGCCCAAGGTTCAAGCAACCTCGCCTGGTTAACTAGTTCACTAGTTACTAGCCATTCCTAAGCCCGGGTAAAGAGGGAAGGTTGGGCATAGGGCCAGCAACCCTACCCCGTAAAACAAATCTAACCGCTAAAGAAACTTCAAAGCACAAACAAAATACAAAAAATGAAAACAAACTTATTCCCCGCTGGAATCGGAGAGGCGAAATGACGCCAGTTGGTGAAAGCCTTCGAGAAGCCAAATGGTCAATGTGTCTTCTCTCGATGAAAGCGAAAGTGAACGTGGGGACATGGAATGTCCGCACGATGTTCGAACCTAGTAAGGCAGCCCAGATTGCAAGGGAGATGAGAAGGTATCACATCGAAGTGCTTGGGATTTGCGAAAGCAGATGGAATGGGAGTGGACTCTCCAAACTGTCAACTGGAGAATCAATAATCTACTCCGGTCACCCAGACGACAACCACGAGCACACTGAGTTATGGAGTGGCTATCATGATGTCCTCAAGAGCATCGAAGGCTCTCATGCAGTGGGAACCAATCTCCTCCAGCATCAGGATCATGACAGCAAGATTCAACTCAAAAGGAAGAAAGGTCACAATCATACAATGTTATGCACCTACAAATAATGCAGAGCAAGAGAAAAAGGAGGATTTCTACAGACAACTTCAATCAACACTGGACAAGACGTCAGTTGGCGATATCAAAATTCTGATGGGCGACATGAATGCCAAACTGGGAGGGGACAACACGGGAAGAGAACTAACCATGGGTCGAGAGGCACTAGGTGAAATGAATGAGAATGGAGAATTGTTTGCAGAATTCTGCGCATTCAACGATTTGGTGATTGGAGGCAGTGTGTTCAGGCACAAGGATATCCACAAAGCGACATGGATTTCACCAGATGGACACACCAAAAATCAAATCGACTTTATCTCAATGTGAAGAAAGTGGAGACGCAGTCTACTTAACACAAGGTCAAGAAGAGGAGCAGATGTAGGTTCAGACCACTACCTAGTGCAAGGAACCTTCCAAATCAAGTTAAAAGCCTTCAAGGAAGCTGGTGATAGACCTCAACCCAAGTACAACACTCGGAAACTGAAGGATGAAACTACAAAGGAGGTCTTCAAGGCAGCCATCAAGACAAAATGGGATATATCGAGGAACATCCCTGAAGAAACCTGTGTGGAAGAACACTGGAAGTCTTTGAAAGCTATGTGGAAGGAAACCTGCACAACAGTATTAGGAAGGAAGAAGAAAGAAGACAAGGAATGGATCTCGATGGATACCTGGAAGCTGATAGAGGAGAGGAGGATGGTGAAGCAGAAGATAAACCAGTGCAAGGATGCACAACGAGAAGAGGAACTGAGCACAATGTATAAAACACTGGACAAAGAAGTGAAGAAGAGTGCACGGAAAGACAAAAGACACTCCTATGAAACACTGGCAAGTGAAGCAGAACAGGCTGCAGGTAAGAGAGACATGACGACATTGTATCAAATAACCAGGTTGCTATCAGGGAATAGACCAACACAGATGAAACCAATAAAAGATGAAGAAGGAAATTAAATTACGAAGGAAGAGAAACAAAGGGAAAACAATTGGCCGACCACTTCAAGAAGCTCTTGAATCGACCACCACCTGCACTTCGTCCAGAAATACCACCTGCAGCCGCTGAACTACAAGTGAACATAAATCCTCCAACGGAAATGGAAGTCCTGAACGCCATAAAGCTACTGAAATGCGGGAAAGCAGCAGGACCAGATGGAATACCGCCAGAAGCACTGAGAACAGATGCAGAGACAACAGCAGACATGCTCACACCACACCACTATTGTAGAAGGTGTGGAAGAAAGAGAAGGTACCTGACGATTGGAAGAAGGGTTACCCTGTCAAACTGCCGAAGAAGGGAGACCTCATTGTTTGCAAGAACTGGCGCGGAATCACTCTCCTGTCCACCCAGTACAAGTAAAATATTAAGCCGCATTATCCTGGAGAGGCTTAAAGATGCACTGGATTCAAAACTGCGACCGGAACAGGCAGGCTGGATTCAGGAAGTACAAATCATGTGCCCACCAAATTGCAACGCTACACTACGCATCATCATAGAACAGAGCATAGAATAGCAATCAGCTCTCTACCTAAACTTCATCGACTTTGAGAAGGCCTTTGACAGCGTCAACCGAGAAGTAATTTAGAAACTGCTTCAATACTACGGAGTACCGCAAACCTTTATCAGCCTCATTCAACAACTATATGAAGATGCTACATGCCAAGTAATCCACAATGGGAAGCTCAGTGATGCTTTTGAAGCGAAAGTGAAGACAGGAGTGAAACAAGGTTGCCTACTATCCCCCATGATATTCCTGATTGTGGTCGACTGGACTGGATCATGCAGCAAACAGTGGGCAGCGAGAAGAGGGGGATACGCTGGACGACGGAAAAGAACCTAGAAGATCTGGATTTCGCCACCGATGACTTGTGTCTGATGTCACATAAACTTGAAGATCTGCAGGCAAAAACTAACAAGTTGATAGAAGAGGCAGCGAAAACGGAACTTCAGGTGAATATAGAGAAGACAGAAGGGATGAAGATACCGCACCACCACCATCAACAACAACAACAAACTCCAATCACCGTCAACGGGAGAAACTTAGAGGAAGTAACCTCCTTCACCTATCTAGGAAGCACTGTTTCAACTACAGGCGAAACAGGCACAGACGAGGATGTCAAAGTAGACAGGATCGGAAAGAGAGCATGACAGGCGTTCATTAGCCTGAAACCAGTGTGGAGATCTGCACTCAGCATGCGGAACAAGATCCGGATTTTCAACACCAACGTCAAGTCAGTGCTCTTGTATGGCTCAGAGACTTGGCGTGTTACGAAAGGCATTTCCAATAAACTACAGACATTCATCAACAACTGCCCACAATGGCTCGCTACTGAAGATCAGATGGATTGCCAGAAAGAATAAGCAACAAGGAACTCTGGGAACGAACCAACCAAGAACCTATCACGCAACAAGTATGCAGGAGGAAGTGGAGATGGATTGGCCATGCACTGAGAAGGCCGACTGAGGACATCACGCGTCAGGCCAGTTGCTCGAGTGGAATCCCCATGGGAAGCGACGAGTTGGGCGTTCCAGGTGAGGGTGACATGGAGGAGGTCGTGCGAGGAGGAAATGAGAGCTTCTGGGCTGTCGTGGGACCAGGTTCAAAAGATCTCAGAGAACAGAGGTCACTGGAGGCGTGCTACTGAAGCCCTATGCTCCACTAGGAACCCAAGGGACTAATAATAATAATAATAATAATAAGGTTCAAGCAAGCCGCTTGTTCAATAACGTCACAAAATGAAGGAATTTATAACCCACCTATTTATTTCATCTAACAGAATGAAAGCGATTACGATAATCTGTTTGTATACGTTAAGATTAGTGTAAAGTCCAGATATTTTTGAATAGCTGAGTAAACATAAGTATATATGTGTGTAAATAATTTTCACTCCTATGCATTAGAAAATTGAGCTATTTCTTTTAATAATCTGATAAAAATTTCGAAACTTATCCCTTCTTATAAAATATTTTATTGGCGAATGAAAAAGGAATTATCACATTCTTTCAGTAGTTTAGTCAATAAACTGTCAAGCCTCAAGTACCTATATTCTTTTGAGACATCTAATTTATAGTGTTATTGCTTGTAATATCCCGTTGTTGATTGGACCGAATTGATCGGTCTCCATTAGTATATGGGCTCCTGAACCGATGTCTCGATATTGCCTATGTTTCAGTTATATATATTTATGATGCGTAGTCGGTAGTAGTGGAATCTAGGACGCACGCTTCGTTCTATTTAGGACTCGACAGCTAGATGTACCTGCTGCCCAGTGGGAACAACAGCATTTACTGGAAGACTGGAACATCTGGCTGAAGAGTCCCAAATAGGATGAAACGTGCATCCTGTATTCCACTTATAGCCACTGTCTTTCATAAATCTTATTTATAGATCTACAATATGACTTATCGTTAAGTACACTTATCTTGACTATTTCATGAATTCAGTCAGACTAGTTGGGTTTATTTAGTTCGTTCAGAAGTGAAAAATTCAGTTCACTAGCCAGATACTCTAGGGAGCCTACGAAAGTCACAAGGAAAATTCACCCACTAGCTAGCCACTACCCGTCATTGATATCAAATTTGTCAGCAGCAGTGATATTGAGGTATCTGCTTGGGACTCCATGTGCTGACAGTGGGTGAACACTTCGATCCAGTCAATGACAGAGATTGGCATCAAAGACTATACTATACTCATCGTACAACGGGTGACTACGGTGACTGTATGAGGCAGTGAATAATGTTCTGGCATTTGAAGCTATTATTCTTGAGTTCGTGTTTTTGTAGAAACAACATCAGTCACTGGGATGGAGGTACATACGGCTGACGAGTCTCAAACAAGGTGAAACATGCGTCATTTACTTCACTACTAGCCACTATTTGTCATTTAAATGCATCCAACTTTTAGTATGTTTTCAAGACAAGAAATTCTGCTGGTTCACTAAATGATGACAATGACCACTTGTAATTCATTTTATTTAGCCCACATTTTATTTGATCACACCTTTCACTTTACAGATAATGGACTTGAAGAAAGGAAAAAATTCTGTTGGAGGAAATAAACATCAAAGTACCATGTTTTCTCTTTTTCAGTTATATATTTTGACTCAAAGGCTGGGTTTATTAGTAGTTCAGTTGTGTCACAAGTTTTATTCTGGTGTTACTTATTTGGCGGCGGTTAGCAGGAAAAATCTTCAATTGCGGTTTGTTTCATTTAAGGTCATTCAGTCAAACGATTTTGCACCTATTTGATGGTATATCCACAAAAGTTGAGACTCAAGATTTGTCACTTGAAAGTAAGAGTGTTGTTCACTATGTAGGTGAACTACTAGGATGTTTGTTGTTGCTACGGCTTGGTATTTTTATATGGTCATCATTGAATTCGTTGCTATCTGTCACCAGACCAAAGTTGTTTCAGTGGGTTGAAGTTACAGCCAGAAGTTATCCTTCGAAGCTTCATTCCTCTGCCTCTTAATGATTATACGCATTATTCAATATTCTTTTATAAATTTTGGATAGAATCTGTAAACGTTTTCAGTTATTTACCATTCCAGTTTTTATTTTACGATGTGCTGCTCTCAGCTTTGACACTATTTTTTGTTCATGTGTAAAAGAGGGTAAATAAAGCACTTTTCACTATGACGTTCAGTCATAAGCTTGATTTTTTGGTACTTGGCACTGAAAAGATTAAATAAGCGATTGTAACGGATAAGAAATATATCATAAATAAATACAGAATAGAGTATGAATTTATCAGTTTGAGATATTATGGTGGTTTTCATAACATGTTACACTGGTTTACTGTCCAACATAAGTTACGTTTAACTGCTACTGGATGGTTTTCCAACTTTCACAAAGAGAATAATACGTAGATATGATTCTGCTATTATGCTTGTTAGGTGTGATCAGACAAGACTTCATTCACTTTATGCTGAGCAAGCACAACCTATTATTATTATTATTATTAGTCCCTTGGGTTCCTAGTGGAGCATAGGGCTTCAGTAGCACGCCTCCAGTGACCTCTGTTCTCTGAGATCTTTTGAACCTGGTCCCACGACAGCCCAGAAGCTCTCATTTCCTCCTCGCACGACCTCCTCCATGTCACCCTCACCTGGAACGCCCAACTCGTCGCTTCCCATGGGGATTCCACTCGAGCAACTGGCCTGACGCGTGATGTCCTCAGTCGGCCTTCTCAGTGCATGGCCAATCCATCTCCACTTCCTCCTGCATATTTGTTGAGCGACAGGTTCTTGGTTGGTTCGTTCCCAGAGTTCCTTGTTGCTTATTCTTTCTGGCAATCCATCTGATCTTCAGTAGCGAGCCATTGTGGGCAGTTGTTGATGAATGTCTGTAGTTTATTGGAAATGCCTTTCGTAACACGCCAAGTCTCTGAGCCATACAAGAGCACTGACTTGACGTTGGTGTTGAAAATCCGGATCTTGTTCCGCATGCTGAGTGCAGATCTCCACACTGGTTTCAGGCTAATGAATGCCTGTCTTGCTTTTCCGATTCTGACTTTGACGTCCTCGTCCGTCCCGCCTGTAGTTGAAACAGTGCTTCCTAGATAGGTGAAGGAGGTTACTTCCTCTAAGTTTCTCCCGTTGACGGTGATTGGAGTTTGTTGTTGTTGTTGATGGTGGTGGTGCGGTATCTTCATCCCTTCTGTCTTCTCTATATTCACCTGAAGTTCCGTTTTCGCTGCCTCTTCTATCAACTTGTTAGTTTTTGCCTGCAGATCTTCAAGTTTATGTGACATTAGGCATAAGTCATCGGCGAAATCCAAGTCTTCTAGGTTCTTTTCCGTCGTCCAGCGTATCCCCCTCTTCTCGCTGCCCACTGTTTGCTGCATGATCCAGTCCAGTCGACCACAATCAGGAATATCATGGGGGATAGTAGGCAACCTTGTTTCACTCCTGTCTTCACTTTCGCTTCAAAAGCATCACTGAGCTTCCCATTGTGGATTACTTGGCATGTAGCATCTTCATATAGTTGTTGAATGAGGCTGATAAAGGTTTGCGGTACTCCGTAGTATTGAAGCAGTTTCTAAATTACTTCTCGGTTGACGCTGTCAAAGGCCTTCTCAAAGTCGATGAAGTTTAGGTAGAGAGCTGATTGCTATTCTATGCTCTGTTCTATGATGATGCGTAGTGTAGCGTTGCAATTTGGTGGGCACATGATTTGTACTTCCTGAATCCAGCCTGCCTGTTCCGGTCGCAGTTTTGAATCCAGTGCATCTTTAAGCCTCTCCAGGATAATGCGGCTTAATATTTTACTTGTACTGGGTGGACAGGAGAGTGATTCCGCGCCAGTTCTTGCAAACAATGAGGTCTCCCTTCTTCGGCAGTTTGACAGGGTAACCCTTCTTCCAATCGTCAGGTACCTTCTCTTTCTTCCACACCTTCTACAATAGTGGTGTGGTGTGAGCATGTCTGCTGTTGTCTCTGCATCTGTTCTCAGTGCTTCTGGCGGTATTCCATCTGGTCCTGCTGCTTTCCCGCATTTCAGTAGCTTTATGGCGTTCAGGACTTCCATTTCCGTTGGAGGATTTATGTTCACTTGTAGTTCAGCGGCTGCAGGTGGTATTTCTGGACGAAGTGCAGGTGGTGGTCGATTCAAGAGCTTCTTGAAGTGGTCGGCCAATTGTTTTCCCTTTGTTTCTCTTCCTTCGTAATTTAATTTCCTTCTTCATCTTTTATTGGTTTCATCTGTGTTGGTCTATTCCCTGATAGCAACCTGGTTATTTGATACAATGTCGTCATGTCTCTCTTACCTGCAGCCTGTTCTGCTTCACTTGTCAGTGTTTCATAGGAGTGTCTTTTGTCTTTGCGTGCACTCTTCTTCACTTCTTTGTCCAGTGTTTTATACATTGTGCTCAGTTCCTCTTCTCGTTGTGCATCCTTGCACTGGTTTATCTTCTGCTTCACCATCCTCCTCTCCTCTATCAGCTTCCAGGTATCCATCGAGATCCATTCCTTGTCTTCTTTCTTCTTCCTTCCTAATACTGTTGTGCAGGTTTCCTTCCACATAGCTTTCAAAGACTTCCAGTGTTCTTCCACACAGGTTTCTTCAGGGATGTTCCTCGATATATCCCATTTTGTCTTGATGGCTGCCTTGAAGACCTCCTTTGTAGTTTCATCCTTCAGTTTCCGAGTGTTGTACTTGGGTTGAGGTCTATCACCAGCTTCCTTGAAGGCTTTTAACTTGATTTGGAAGGTTCCTTGCACTAGGTAGTGGTCTGAACCTACATCTGCTCCTCTTCTTGACCTTGTGTTAAGTAGACTGCGTCTCCACTTTCTTCACATTGAGATAAAGTCGATTTGATTTTTGGTGTGTCCATCTGGTGAAATCCATGTCGCTTTGTGGATATCCTTGTGCCTGAACACACTGCCTCCAATCACCAAATCGTTGAATGCGCAGAATTCTGCAAACAATTCTCCATTCTCATTCATTTCACCTAGTGCCTCTCGACCCATGGTTAGTTCTCTTCCCGTGTTGTCCCCTCCCAGTTTGGCATTCATGTCGCCCATCAGAATTTTGATATCGCCAACTGACGTCTTGTCCAGTGTTGATTGAAGTTGTCTGTAGAAATCCTCCTTTTTCTCTTGCTCTGCATTATTTGTAGGTGCATAACATTGTATGATTGTGACCTTTCTTCCTTTTGAGTTGAATCTTGCTGTCATGATCCTGATGCTGGAGGAGATTGGTTCCCACTGCATGAGAGCCTTCGATGCTCTTGAGGACATCATGATAGCCACTCCATAACTCAGTGTGCTCGTGGTTGTCGTCTGGGTGACCGGAGTAGATTATTGATTCTCCAGTTGACAGTTTGGAGAGTCCACTCCCATTCCATCTGCTTTCGCAAATCCCAAGCACTTCGATGTGATACCTTCTCATCTCCCTTGCAATCTGGGCTGCCTTACTAGGTTCGAACATCGTGCGGACATTCCATGTCCCCACGTTCACTTTCGCTTTCATCGAGAGAAGACACATCGGCCAATTGGCTTCCCGAAGGCTTTCACCAACTGGCGTCATTTCGCCTCTCCGATTCCAGCGGGGAATAAGTTTGTTTTCATTTTTTGTATTTTGTTTGTGCTTTGAAGTTTCTTTAGCGGTTAGATTTGTTTTACGGGGTAGGGTTGCTGGCCCTATGCCCAACCTTCCCTCTTTACCCGGGCTTAGGAATGGCTAGTAACTAGTGAACTAGTTAACCAGGCGAGGTTAAGCACAACCTATAAATAAAGTTATTGCAGTAACTCGTTTATTAGCACATTTCCGTTTGACGAAGGAAGTGTAAACACTCCTCTGAAGTAAAAGTGAACTAAGTTGAAGGACTTTATAAAGTGGAATAAAAAGAAATCATCTCTCAGCATCCTCTGTAAACTGAGTAATTTATTACAAAGCGAGCAAATTATTATTTCCCAACTTAGCTCTTTGTAGTGATATAATGAATGCATTAATCATTCCTAGTTTAGTAATAAGCTCGTAAGAAGAGCTGTACTTCATTAGTTTGAACACTTGTCTTTCAATCGGTGGGTCATGTGTTCGACATTCAAGCCATTTGCTGAGGTCTGGACAGTTAGTTTCATTAACCCTAAAACATTAGGTGTGACTAATTGTCTACTGCAAGAATATGCACTTAATTGCATTTGATTCAGTACAGTTTTACTCCTTATGATAACCACTACCAGTTTCTGTTAAATTCTCTCAGCCACTACTTTAAATCAGTAAGTTATTCATACCCTTTATGCCTATAAACATAGGGTACAAGGAATGCATTAATTCAGTTACAATCGAAGTTACTTTAAGAACCTGATGTGAATATATTTGAAATATATTTTGTTTCCGATAGAACAGTTAAATCGATTTGAAAGCCTTCCCCCTCATATATATGTTTATATATAAACAGCTGAATTTTGCTTCAGTAGATATCAAGAGTAAAATCGATAGGCTATAAAGCTTTTTTGACTGATTTGTCTCCCGATATTAGTGTAGTGCAGTCTTTTGTCTAAGTAAATAAACGTTCAAATTAATGATTATATAATATTCACGCTGTGAATACAACAAGATAATCTTTTTTTTTATTGCGAAACGAAAAACGTGATTATTAGCTCTAAATAAGTTGACTTGTCATTCGATAGACGGCAACAAGCTTTTATAATGCAGTTCTATTTTCCAGATATGACCTCTACTGTCAAAAATGAGAACGAACTTGTCTGCAAATTCATCCAACTTTCCACACCATTTAAGCGCCATTTCAGTCTGAAAGTGGACAGGTAAGATAAACAGTGGAGAAAAATTAAATGAGAAGTAGTCAAAAGCTGGGAGGAGAAGATAAGTTCAGAAATAGATAAAGAACC